CTCATGTACTGTGTACTATCTCTCCAACCTCTAATTTAAATTTATTAGATGTCCAGTGGTGAGAACTTTTCATGTTGCTTTAGAAATGTTTTTCACATGTACTTATTTGATCGACTGCCCAATTTATATCTATCAATTCATTTTTGAAATACATCTTTAAGTACAGACTAACGGATTTTTATTTTAGGATTCTTCTATTGCTTTATGTGCAGTAAGATTATTGCTCAGTTTGGAATTCATTATTGTGATTTATCAAAAAACATTCATTTGGTCTTTTAGAGAACCAAAATATATTTCTTACCCATATATGTTTTTTATCACAGTTTTCAGCTAACAGCTCTCCAAAGACTTGAACTTTCCCAGTTGAGAGTGAGAAAAGTGTCCTTTGGGATGTAAAGGAAGTGACACTTTTGCAAGTACCTAACAATGAAGGTTGCTTTTGAGGAGAAGAGCCCTGTGATAGTAGCATTGGAACTTCCATTCCCACCTGCAGACTTTCTGGAAGGAGAGAGAAGCCAGAGGTTGTGTTCAAACGCCAAAGACCAATGACTTCACCACTCCTTCTCATTAAAAAAATAAAAACCTGCCTTCTCATTAAAATCAGTGGTTTAAAGAAAATACAAAAGTGACTCCACCAGTGAAAAATGAAGATAAATATCTCCATTTTAGATAGGCAAAACATATGAAGCCAGAACAATAGTACATTATTGTTCTTGATAGGGTAATGGGTAGGACATTTGCCTTACATGTGGCCAATCCAGGTTTGATCTCTGTTGGATCAAGGAATGAAGTAATGAAGGCTCTGTTAAGGAATGAAGCCTCTGGTAAGACCCAACAGGAAAGACTTTGGACAGCTGCTGGGTTGGGGAGCCAAAGAGCTTCTGAGTGCTGCCTTTCCAGGCACCAAACTTTGGGACCTCATCCTATCTCTTCTTTCATCTAACTGTTGATTCTTTAGTGTCTTTTGTAATAAACTGGTGACCTCTTGAGGACTTGAATTCCCAGTTCTGTGAGACTTCCTAACAAATGTATCAAATTTAGGAGGGGGTACTGGGACCCCGTGATTGGCAGCCAGCTTCTTAGGAGGTAGGAGGCTTGCAGCGAGCACTGCAGTGGAGGCTGAGCCCTACACCCATGGGCCATGATGCTATCTCCTCCTGCTGGAAGGGGTCAGAAGTGAGTTGAATTCTCAGACCTCCTACTGGTGTGAGGGCACTTCATGCTGCTGCAAACAGCGGGCTTACTGAGTAACTTCAACTCCTGGAAGCACTGCCCACATCAAAGCTTCCCATGCTCCACAACACACAGGCAGCCCCGTCGCTCTGGGGATGCGTGTTCACTGTTACTCTAGCAGGCCTCTTGATGGGCATTGTGCTGAAAGCTATTTAAGTTCAGTTGGATGATTAATGACTGAGGATCAGCAGCTTTGGATACAAAACTCTGAGAGAGTGGCACGTTGACAAAATATTGGGGGGAGAGTAATCCAGCTGGTGCCAGATGTGATGCACAGAGAATGCCTCCCAGCATGTCAGCACTACAGATAAATGTATGAGGCTGGCTATTCTATCAGTCTTGGCCCCATGCAACACGAGTAAATAGGATTTGCTTCTGTCTCTCCGCCCCCCTTCCCCTGTTTGCTTTCCATGCAAGTTTTGTACACAATCAGCTTCATTTGACAGGTAATCTTCAGACTTACAAATAAAAAAAGATTGCACATGGTTAATAGATACTTGACTAGCAGGGCATAGATTTTCCTCAATATTCTTTTCTGAGGTCACACCATGACCACTCTCAAGATTTTGAAAAAGATAAAAAATATCTGATCATTTATGCCACGGCACAAGGAAAGCCACTGGCAATACTGTCTTGGTCTTATAAGGGGCTATGCCACCGCTCGACTGAATGGAGCTGTTTCCAGCAGTTTTCACACAGCATGAATCCAACTCAAATGCTCTCAAGTGCCCTGAGTCCAGAACTTTAAGTCCAGCTTCCTGGCCTTTTAGTCAAGGCCCCTGCATCTAGCACATGAAATTTCCTACAGGGTAGCCTGGGCAGGGATGGCATTAGGATCAGAGCATGGGAGAGACACCAGGAGTTCAGGATCAAAGCAGAAATGGGAAGATATAAGAACAAGCAGACCAAGGGTTTGGAATGTGGGAACAGGGTGCAAGTCTAGAGACATTTCTGTGGAGCAGTTGCAGCTAATTTTCTAGGCTTGTGGGTAGAGAATCAGAGAGGAATGGAGAAAAGTTGGTGTAAGCAACAGAATTTGACCTGATATTGTGTACAGACATGAGATGGGTAACTGTAACAAAACCAGCCTTGCCTGGGCAGTGAAGGCTCCTTCTGGGTACGTTCTCCAGCAGAAAGTACAAAGACTAACAGGCCATCTGAGTTCCTTCTTTCTTGACCTCTAGCCTCATATTCATCCTCAGGTATCCAGTTTACCCAATAAACAGATAAAATCTGATTAAACATCATGCACTCTTTCTTAAAGCAGAGACTTGAAATTAGTAAATTCCCGATAAAAGATAAATTATGAGTAAAGGAATCCATTTCTAGAGAGAACTCCCCTGGGATTTGTTTAGAATCATTGTAGCTGAGTGTAACCTGCTCCCTCTGGACCCACAGTAAGACACACACAGGGCTGGGCTCTTTTGGCTGAAGGTAGCCTCACTTCTCTGCCTGTACAGAGGCAAGAGTTTAACTGGGTAGATCCGTAGAACAGCAGAGTGTTTACTCTCCCACTATTCTTGGATCCTTGCCATGGTCTTTTCATTGAGTGCCATCTTCAAGCTCACTGCAGAACTGGCTTGACTGCTGGTCATGCCGACCTGGTGTAGGGGCTCAGGTAGCCCTAGTGATGTAGTAGTGAGGTTTGCTCCTCCAGCACCTGGAGGATGTTTCAAGGACTCTGTTATCTACTGTTTTAAGGACTCTTCCTTGGGAGAAAGTGGAGTGAAGGTAAAAGGTGTGAACAAATGTCAAACCATGGATGATTCTGAGAACCTCCTTTCAGTAGCTGCAATCAAACAGAAGCTTGAGCACAGCTGCCACCCCCAATTTTCAGCCCCTTCCTGACCTCCACCATTAACTGATACTGAGTCCTAAGGATGACTTCCAACACAATTTTATTTTTCCTCAAATATAAAAGCACACTGTAACTTGATGGATGAACCATAAGAATACCTACATTTCACATGCTATTACTTGCTGCAATGAGAAAGGCTCTGAATGAGCTGACAAGAAATCTGTGAAGGTCACCCCAAAAGACCTTGGCAGGCTCTCAGACCTCTGTGCTTATAAAGGAGGTTGTGTTAGTCATCAAGTGCCAATCCCCACCAATACCCCACCTCCCACAAAGAGCTGGGGCTCAAAACAACTGCTAAATAACTACTCTTGGAGAATCCCATTTGTTTATTTTACCCTTGACATTGTCCACTTGAAGGTCATAAAAGAGAGAGTATTAAAGATATGGGCCTTGAGACTGGATCGACAGCACAGCAGGTAGGGCATTTGCCTTGCACGCAACTGACCCGGGTTCGATTCTCAGCATCCCATATGGTCTCCCGAGCACTGGCAGGAGTAGTTCCTGAGTACATGAGCCAGGAGTAACCCCTGTGCATCGCCGAGTGTGACCCAAAAAGCAAATAAATAAATTAATTTTTAAAAACTATGGGCTTATTTAGCACAAAGAGTCTGGTGTCCGGGAGGATCTTGCCTCAGAACAGAGAGTGGTCATGGTTACAGAATTCCCCTGGGCAAGAGGAAACTAAAGTCTTGGGGAAAGTAAAGCAATGCTGGGTCAAAAGTCTAAACCAAGTGCCAAATGGTAGGGGCAGCCAGCCTGCTGCAGCCCCCCTGCCTGGCCTCTGCCTGCAAAAGTGTCCTCTCACCTATCCCTCAGACCGAATCTCCTCTCACTAGCATAGTGACAGTAGGATCCTGCAGTGGAAGATGTTTGAGTTTTTGTGTTCTAAGAGGAACATTATTTAGCCCTGAGGACTGGTCTCTTTCAGGAAAGTGAAGCCGCCACCCTGGAGACTATGGACAGGGGGAGGCGGCAAGACCTGAGGCCAAAGCAAGTCCTTAGCAGTCACCCACACGAGTCAGTTCTCTAGGAGCACTTTCATCAACCCTCTCAAACATCCAAAAAAGACTAGTCCCAGCACCTTAACTCAAGCTCCTAAGAGGCCCTACGCCAGATCCGTTCAGTTAGGTTACTTTCAGGTTTGGAATCCAAGTGCAGTGTGAGGTAGCCCATATGTGCTACTGTTTTTATGTCACCAATTCTTATGTAAGGCATTACGCAGCGAGTAGAGGACAAACACACCTTCCTGGGAGGGACATTGAGTCTTCTCCAAGAAGAAAGAACTGTCTATCCAATGCTTTAGTCATTTTCCTTTTTAGATTAGAAGCGCCTCCTGGTTGTAATAGCCCCCTGGTTTCAGTAGCCCCCATCTTTCTATTTTTCTATGCCACAGTTGCCAAATTTCTTTAGTTCTACTGACGACTTTGAAACTCAGCACCCCAATAAAAATCCTTTAAAAAATTCTTCAAACAGGCAGAAAACATCTCCCATTGTACTCCAGGTTGTTTCAGAGACCCCAGGAGGTGGAGCATTTTCCACTCTGGGAAACTCTGTTCCATACCACACGGCATTCAGCCACACAGCAGAGCAATCACACATATCCAGCCCGCATCCACTAACAGATGTGCTCACACATACCCTCCTTTCTAAACATCCCAGGAAAAAGGACCTGTGAACTGAAAGTGGAGAAATATCATTTCTCTAAACCATAAGAACATTATTAAGAGGCAATAGGACATTAGCTGACTCTCCCATGCCTTAACTGCAAATAGTCAGAATCCACTTAAATATCTAATTTAAGGAATGCACGACATTAGCCTACAAGGGATCTTTATGTGTTGAACAGAAGCTCACAAGTTGTACACATCATGCTTACTGTCAGATAATTTTTAAAAAATCTCTTACTCACCTGCCAGAATATGCTATCTATTGTGTTTCCAAGAAAACCATCACGACCTTCTGAAGACACCAGTTTAGGGCCAAGAATTGTCATGAATTCATCGAAATCCACCTGGCCATCCCCTGGAAGGAGAAGATATAAATATGAGTGAAAATTGACCCTATTGCTCAATGCAATCTACTTATCCATGCTTTTAACCTTGGAAAGGATTCAATCAATAAAATAGTGTTGCTATCATAAATCATATTATAATCATTTGTCCATTCTGGGCTGGAGCGATAGCACAGCGGGTAGGGCGTTCGCCTTACACGCAGCCAACATGGCCGACCCGAGTTCGATTCCTCCGCCCCTCTCGGAGAGCCCGGCAAGCTACCGAGAGTATTCGATATGCCAGACACAGTAACAACAAAGTCTCCAATGGAGACGTTACTGGGCCCGCTCGAGCAAATCGACGATCAACGGGAGGGCCTTTACCTTTACCTTTACCTTACCATATTTCTGGGCTGGAGCAATAGCACAGCGGGTAGGGTGTTGCTTTACAAGCGGCCAATATGACTGACCCAAGTTTGATTCCTCCGCCCCTCTCGGAGAGCCCGGCAAGCTACCGAGAGTATCTTGCCCACACGGCAAAGCCTGGCAAGCTACCCGTGATGTATTCTATATGCCAAACACAGTAACAATTGTCACAATGGAGACGCTACTGGGCCCGCTTGAGCAAACTGCTGAACAATGGGAGGACAGTGACAGTCCATATTTCTATCTAAATGCCTAACCAGTTCCTCCCATGCTCATGGCCACATTCGTACCTATTCTATTTCCTTGGCCTCAAGCTGCATTGCTAGAGTTAGAAAATAATAGATTCATCTTGATCTCTTCCTTCATCCTTATTACCCCACATATAAGTCACAGCATTATTGAGCTCACCTCTTAAGTACCTGTGGTTACTATATATTCTTCATTAACTCAATTGTTAATCCCCAGGCTGATGTTGTGGTGGAAAAATGTGTCCAATAATCCAGTTGTAATTATACTGCTTTCCTGCCTTCACCCTCTCCTCGCTATCTCCCACACGGCCTGAATTTATTTACCCCGTGACATGAGCATGCAAGACAAATGGAGTGACAATGGCAGGGAACTCTGACACCTCCATTCTGATGCCTCCCCCCATTTGTCTAGCAGTTTAACCTCAATTCATTCTTTAAGACAGAGATTAAATGTCAGGTTCTCTTTATGTTATTTTTCTAGGACCCATCCTCATTTCACCCAAGCTTATTTCTGTTTATCCTAATATAATGTATATTGAATGTAGAAATAAACAGTCTCTCCCTCTCAGTCACCAGTTCCATACCTACCTCCCACTTGGATGGATTGCTCAGCAAGTTCAGGGACCCAGTAGAAACATCTTTGTATATTGGATATCATATAGTAGCCGGTAGGATAAATGAATAATATCTCTTGCTCGAGTCTGCTTTGCTCAGCTCAGTATCCGCTCGATCTTTCAGTTCAGGACTGACACTGACCAAAAGATGGACTTGAACAAACTTAGACAAAAGCAGACCTTTGAGGCATTGTCCAACCTTCATCAAGGCATCAGTGTGATATTCTGTATCCCTGGGACTTCACAAAAAGGCATCTCACCGAAGAGCTTACAACCTTTCGATCCCAACCTATGATGCCAGCTCAGGAATCTGCAATTGTGTTTGCCAAAATATGGGCACATCAATCCACTCTGAGAGTGCAAGAGGCCCAGAGAACTATCATTCAAAACTTATTTCAAATAGCTAAGTAGATAGAATAACCAAGACCCCCCATAATTCAGAAGAAGACAGTCCAGGAACTGAGTTCAGTGGACATAAAACTTTTTTGAGGATAAGGAAGCATAGCAGATTGGTAGAAAGGAAATTGATACATCTTAAATACAGAAAAGGGAATCTGAACTTTCACCTCCATGGTCCTTATAAGAATTCCAATCAAACAACTGTTACTCTCTTGCCATTCACATTGGCAAAGAATTCTAAAGACAACTCTACTCAATGCTGGCAGAAAGATATTTGGATAAGATAAACACTCTCTTATGCATTCTCGGTGTTCTCATCTGAGGTATAGACTAGAAATACTAAAGGTGCAATAATATGCTGACTCCTTATTATCCACTGATTTTGTGTTTTCAAGTGAGATTTTAACATATAACACTAGTTTCAGGTGTACACATAATGATCCAATACAGCATAATTGACAAGTTACCATACTAAGAATTACATCCCTGTATTATTTGTTCACTTTGTAATAATTTCACTTTTAAGGAAAATAAAGCAAAGAAGTGATCTCAAATGCATACCAAGATGTCAACTCAGAGAACAATCTAGAATTTTCATAGAGGGAGGGAGAGGAGAATGGTCAAACGTCATGTGACTCCAGATACATTCACCCTCACCTCCCTCAAATCACCTTTGACTTGTCACAACATGCTGCAAGAGTTTCAATATACCCAGTGTCATCCCCAATGAGGGAGGACATGATTCTTAGGGAACAATTGTTTGTGGCCCTTTCACCTGTGCCTAATAATTTTATGAAGATGGAAACTGAAGAATTAAATGTCATGAAAAGATCTGGAGAGGGTGGCATTAAAAAACCAAAAACCCAAAAGGAAGAAGGTAGAGAACCACTGTCCAGAAGATATGTCAGCCATTGTGCCTCTTCTTGGATGTTTTCAGGATGTTCCAAAAGTAGGAGAGCAAGACCACTCACCTCACAGGGGCCAGGTGTGCTTCTGCTTCCACAGATTATCTGGGGGCTGGGCCATGACAGACTTCCTGGAACACTCAAACCCTTCCCCAGCTACCCTAGAAGGAAATCAGAAATCTGGAACAGAGAGGCTAACTGAAGTGCAAATTTCTCTCTGCAGCTCAGTTATTGCTAAGTTTGTAATTACTTGATTTGTAAAGTTAAAAAAGAAAGAAAATAATCTTAAATGCAGACCAAGATGTTTGCTCTAAAACCAGCTGGTAAGTATTCTCACTTTATCATTCAGATAAAAGAAGGACTAGAGATAGTACAGGGGTTAAAGTATTTGTGTTCCATGTAGCCAACATGCTACATGTTGGTCTTTGGGACTACATATGGTCTCCTAAGCACTACCAGGGGTCACTTCTGAGCCAGAGTCAGGAATAGCCCCTTAGCACCACTGGGTGTGACCCTCTTGCGCCCAAATAGAAGAATGATTCCATAGTGACAAATGGTAAATGTTTACTCAACATGTTTAGTACGCCAGATGCCGAGCTCAGGGCTTTCTTGATGGATTCTACCAACACGGTTATGAAGTGCTCTCGCCTTCCACACTGCACCCTGAGAAAGTTTCAGCAGGAAGTGATAGGAAGTATCCAAATCAGAACCACACAGCTTATAGCAACAGCACAGCAGTTCAACTCAGAACCCTAGAAACAAACTTCCACCTAGACCACCTCCCCTCCGAGTCAGAGACTTTGGCATTAGCTGCATGCATTTACAGTTCTTTCCAAAGCTCAGATACCTCTTTTTCTACGTGGAAATTGGGGGAGATGGCCTTGTGGAACAGCCAGGAAGAATCCATGCAATGTCCACTGCCTAAATGCTATTTGTTCCCCCACTAAGGTACCAAATGGCTCCACACAGCACCCCTCTTGCATCAAAGATGAAGCATCCAGTGAATAAGGGTGAGGGTGACCCCAGACTATCTGGGACTCACATGAAGCCCAAGATAAAAGTGGGTGATCTTGGGCCTTCTGAAGTGCTCCCCCCAAATTTCACAGCACAAGATATATTCTGAACCCCCAAACTTCATGTGGTCAAATAGTTCTATGAATCTTGAACAGGTAAGTCACTGGGAAGGAGAGAATGGAATTCACTCCTCTAGACTCACCCTCCCTCCTCAAGCTTCCAATATCATGATCCACTTAGCAAGAAATACGGAAGCTAAGCTGCTAAGGACTGTGTCTTGCTGCCTCCCACTGCTATGTAAGTCAAAGTAATGAACTTGAACTAGGGCAGGAAGCTGCAGGAGGCCTAGGTCTGCACAACATTCATTAAGACCAGCCAGCTGAAAATTTCTCCAAGTGGTAAAATAATAATAAAAATCATTGCGCAATAAAGGGAAGTGGGAAGAATGCAGAAATCAAAGGACGGACTCAGAAGGGCAGGAAGAAGACAAGTTAAGAGGGAGCAAAAATATCCCTCTGAGGTGCTGCTCCAATCAATTAGCTGACTTCTAGTGCACACCCATATGAGGACCCAGGTGAGTGCATGCAAGCCATGGGAGAGAGGCAGAGCACAGGCTCATGTGCAGGAAACTTGCCATCTGTTACTCGGGGAAGTACCAGGTCCTAGACTAGAACTCACCTACCGGCAGGGCAGGGGAGGGTCAAGGAGCCTAGTAGGAAACTCTCAGCCCTGTGATAGGGAGATTTAGGGGGAGGAGGGCTCCCACAAGCTGAGAACAGAGATGAGGAGAATGAAACTATGGTGGAACATCAGGAAGTAGGGAGCACATCTGGCATGAGTGTGCGGCCCCACTGTATGCTGGGTGATTGTGGGAAGAGAGCAAGAGATGAGCAGAGCCCATTGGTCCTTAGTGCAAAGTGAATGGAAGGATCTGCAGAGGGGGAGAGAGAACATCCCTCCATCCCTACAAAGATAAGCCAGACTTGAGGTTAGAGGTGCCGGGCCAGTGTACCTAAGAGTGCAGGAAGGTCAGGCTCTCTAGGGTGAAGAAGACAAAATGGAGAGGAAAGGCAATTCCACTAGAACTTACTGGAAGGGAAGAGGTGACTATGACTCTGGTTGGATTCTGGGATGCTGGACAGTGAGACTGTAAAGGAACATGCGGGAGATACTCACATCTGGGAAAATGCTGGACCAAGTTTCAGCTGTTGGACCTTCTGACCCTGGCAACTCCTCCTATGATCTCAAAAGTGGATTCTCAAGTTCAAAATAAAGCAAAATACAGAACTGTGTCATGATATGACACATATTGGTTTAAAGAGGTTTTAACACAGGGGTTGGAGAGATAATACAGCAGGAAGGACACTTGCCTTGCACATGGCCAGCCTGTATTTGATCCCCAGCACCCCAGATGGTTCTCTGAGCC